TTTGCAGCAGTTTTTACAAAACAGGGAGTTAGGTAATTTGTGTTTTCAGGTTTATAAGATACTGAGTTATGAAATTCATTGTTTCTAATTCCACCTTGTGTAGTGTGTTCAAATGATGTATTTCTCTATTATTTTTTAACTAATACCAAGTAGTTTTGATGATTACTAATTTAGAATATAGTTTGAGGACTAGAAGTACTATTCTTCCTTTATCCCTACTTCTTTTTCATTATTTCCTATTATATTCTAGATATTTTGTTTCTTTAAATGAATTTTGTTATTATTTTATTGAGTTTTACAAAGCTGTTGGTTTGATTGGGATGGCATTAAAACTATAAATTAACTTTGGTAGCATTCTCATTTTAAATTACATTGCTATGGATCAGCCATGAGCACTTGATTATTCCTCCAGCTATTTAAGTTGCTTTCTATGTTTAAGAAACACTTTGTAATTGAGTCTGTAGATGCATTTTGTGTATTTTGGTAGATGATCCTAAAATATTTTATGTATTTTACAGTTATCTGGGATGGAATTTCCCTTTCTATTACTGACTCTTGGATTTTGTTATAATTATTTTGTGATTTTTGTGAGTTTATTTTGTAGACTACAACTTTATTAAAGCTATTGTCTCAACTAGTATCTCTGCAGATTCCCTTGGATTTTTTAAGTAAACCATCATGTCACTAGCAAATAGGAGTTTATTTCTCTTTGCCCATCTTAATGCCTTTAATTTCTCTTGTGTTATTGTTATTGCTAGCACTTATAGCACTACATCCAGCAACAGCAGGGAAAGTGGGCATCCTTACCTTTATTCCTGTTATTTACTGGGAAAGCTTCTAGGGATCTTCCACTTCATATGACGTTTGCTTTTGGTTTTAGATACTTTTAAAAATATTTTTAAAATTCCTTCTATGACTATACTTTGTAGGGTTTTTAGTATAAATGAATGTTTATTTTGTCAAAGGCATTTTGTTTATTGAATTATGTAATTTTGGATAATTTTATTTTTAATATGATAAATTATGTTGTTTTTCTAATGCTGAAAAACATACTTACATTCCTAGAATAAGTCCAACTTGGTCATAATAAATGATTTCTAGGATGAATTTCTATAGTCTGTTTACAGGATTTTATGTTAAATTTTTTTAAACATTCTTTAATTATATTGGTCTATAGTTCTCCTGTGCTTTATCCTTCTCTGAATTAGATATTAAGAAGATATTGGTCTGATAAACGGAGTCTGGTAGAGTGCTTTCTTCTTCAGTTTTTGAGAATAACTTGTGCAGTGCTGGTATTAATTGTTCTTTAAAAATTTGAAAGAATTCTGTGAAACCATCAGGAGCAGGAATTTTTTTCCTTTATAGCTAGTTCTATTTGCTTTTTTGAGATTGAATATTTTATATTTTTGAAAGTATTCCTCAAGGGCAGCTAGGTGGCACAGTGGATAGAGCACCGGCCCTGAAGTCAGGAGGACCTGAGTTCAAATCCGGCCTCAGACCAAACACTTGTCATGTACTAGATGTGTGACCTTGGGCAAGTCACTTAACCCCGATTGCCTCACCAAAAAAAAAAAAGAAAGCATTCCTCTATTTGTGTGTGTGTGATCTCAAGTTTTGTTAGTTCATAACTGTACATAATAAGTACTGATATTTTATTTCTTCTGGTATTGTGATTTTATCTTGTTCCTTTGCTATTTTGTTGATGTGATTTTTTTTTGCCCTCTTTTTAATCTCGTTAGCCAAAGGCTTATCAATTTTGTTTCTTTTTTTTTTTTAACAAAGAAACAACTGTTACTTTTATTATTATTATAATCTTTTTGTTTAGCTACTTTTTCTCCTCTAATTTTCAATAGCTATTTCTTTTGTGTTTAATTTGGTTTTGCTTTTGTTGACTCTTAAGTTTTAAAAAATGCATATTCAATTCATTAATCCTCTTTTCTATTTTGTTAATGTATGTCTTTAGGGATTTAATTTTTCCCCAAAGAGCTGCCTTAGTTGCATTCCAGAAATTTTGGTATACTGTTTCATCATTATCATCAATGCTGCTCTGATCCTGTCTTCTGCTGAAGTTGAGGTTCAGAACTGGTCTTGCAATGGTTGTTAGTCTGAATCTCTCTCCTCCTATGGGACCTCGACGCTTGCAAGCTTAGCCTTCCACCTCTCTTAGCTTATCTCGGCTCAGATCTTCCACAGGATTCTGGGTGCCCCACCTTTTTTAAAAATTTTTATAGTCGTGGACTAGAAGGAGGAGTCTATAGTTGATTCTCTTTGGTTTTAATACTGTTCCTTCTGGTAGATTTTTCTTTGGGTGTTTCTGGAGGATCTAGCTTCCTCTAGGACCTAATACACTGTCTGCTTCCCACAATCCAGAGAACATCTATATTATGAAACCACATTTGTCCGTCTCCCTTCACTGGAAATACCAGTGCTCTCAGGAAACTGGTTTTAGTTCTCTAGAATGAACAGCAATAAAAATGCCATTATGGATTATAAATTCAAATACATTCACTTTATTCTATATAATATAGCATAAGGCTTCATGGTAATATATAGCATATGTTAAAAAGCATAAAAACGTCCTTAATATTCAAGGAGTTATTCAACAATGTTTTTGTTATTAAGGTCCACCATGGCATAAAGGAAGGTAAAACCAATGTCTGACAAAGGTTTTCTCCTCCTTGGACTGGAAAATGCCTAGCTTTTGGCCAAGTCTTACTGTCACCCCTAAAAAGTCCCATTTGAAAAAACAAAGCAAAACCAAGGCTGAATATTAGGATCTGTGATAACAGCAGAAGGATTTTTTTTGAATAAGCATTTATTTATGGAACAAATAGATCTAAAGAATTGGTTCCTGAATTTTTTAGGGATAAAAACAAGAGCCCAATAAAATAAATGAAATAGCAAACATATGAGGCAACTTTTCAGAATCAAAACATCTACTAGGTTTTTAGAAGCTAAACAGGTTTAAAATATGCTGGTTGGCTAAAATTTATAAGCTGAATTTAATTATGCAGTGTTAAGCAACCTGAGGGAAGAGACTGACTTTTACCCCTTTCTGTATCCCAAGAGTTTAGCACAGTGGCTAGCATATAATAAGTATTTAACAAATGCTTACTCATTAACTGATAAATAAGGTATAAGTAATAATGACACAGCATTGGTCTCAAACAGCTTAACCTAGAGACAACTTTAGTGAGGACCAAAAAACCCCCATGAACCACGGTTGACATCTTCTGTTCACAACAGAAAAATAAAAATTTATCAGTTAATACTGTTTAATAAAATCCATGCTAGAAGGTTAGAAATGTAGATTTGCACCAAGAAGCTGTATGGAAAATTAGCTGGGAAGCATGAGATCAGACGTGATTTCCATTAGGCTTTATGTTTTGTTCTCCCTTGAACGTGTGATTGGCCTCCCTTACTCAAGAAGAGCTGAGAATAGGATAGGAATCACAATGTCTTGGCCAGCAGTAGTATTAATTTCTCTGCCCAGAACCTACTTACTTGTTCTATCCTGAGAAGTCAATTAGGAAAAGCTTTCATCCTTCAATAGTTGTTTTCATCTTGTCACTCCCCTTTTCAGAAACTAACAATGGATTCTAATTGCCTGACAAATTAAAAACTACTAATCGTGTACTTCAGAGATCTTCACCTCTATTATTTCCTAGCTCATTATTCTCTACAAATTAAACCACAATGGGTTCTTTCTTGCCAAAACTTCATATCTGCCATTTTTCCTATCTCAAATATTTATTTCTTTAAACTACACTTTAGTACTTTGTGTAAAACATGCATGAAACAGATACATATTCACCCATTTTGATACCAGTTACTCTAGCAACTACATTAGCATTTGTAAAAAGTATAAATGGTAATATTTTAAAATAAAATATAAACATTGAAACCTACATATTTCTTTCTGAAATTATCTCAAGTCCTCAATATGAACAGAGAGGAAAGTGGAATAGGAAAATTAAGTAGATAATCTGCCTAATATGGGAAAAATGGGTCACCTTGTTACTATTCATCTGAGAAAAAAAAAACAATTCAATGCAATATCTTATTAAAAAAAACCCTAGTTAAAAAAAAAAAGGAGAGTGTCTTTCACTCTATACTTTGAACTACCTGGACACATCTATGGTGTGGACTAAGCACCTTTTGGTGTCTAGGCAGCAGTAGCTTATTTTCTTTCTGGTGATTGAGGTACAGAGAACCTGAAATGACCTTTTTTTCCTCACACAAGTCAAACTCTTTCCAAATTATTTTGAAACCAACTGAAGCAAAGATATAAATCTAGCCACATGAGGTATCTCACTCAGTTAATATTTTTCTTATTTTTTCTCAACTGTTATTATGTTAACAAATTCTAGGGTTTTTGCAGGTTAAATATACTCATCTTCCAGAAGCCACCTTGAAGCTCACGGTCCCACTGTCTTATCAGATAATTTATAATGCTGTTATAGTCATTTGTCTGCTTGTGTGGACTAGAGACTATAATAAGGAGGCTGCTGTCTCTCTTTAATAAGAGATAATGATAATTTTTAACTGTTCACCACAAGAATGAAACAGGGTCTGTAAGACTACTTTAAATCTTTAATCTCTTCAACTCTCCCTAAAGAGGAATACAAGATGGTGGCTTTTTTTGTCTACTTGTTTCCATGAATTTTCTTGTTTAGTGAAAGATAATTTGGGAAAGAACCAGAAATATAAACTGCTTCATATTTAACCTGTAATTTCTTCTCTTCAACCTCCCTTATCTATTAACTCTTCCTTATTCCATAAAAAATCATAATGCTTCTAATGGGAACTGTAAGGGAAAGATTACTGATTCATATTGAAAATAACTTTTTCACCTATTTCTTATCACCAAACACAGAAGATATATTTTGAATGTGAAAGCAACAATTTTGTTCATGCTGTCAGAAATCCAGATTACAATGAAGTATGCTGTATACACATTGATACATGTTCTTCTAAAATTAAGTATATGTATGGTATACCTCTGATTCTGCATTGGAAAGCTGTTGTTCACGCTTCTCTAAGTCATTTAAAGTTTTCTGAAGTTTTCCTTCCAAAATAGTGTATTCTGCTACCTGAAAATTATATTTAAAAAGTTATTATGTTAATTTCCTAAGAAATTTTAAAGATAATATTTTATTATAAGCTTTGTATAAATCTTAGAATCACAGAAATTCAGAATTGAAAGAGAAATATCAGAGAACAGAAACAATCTACTTTCTTGACCTTTTTAGATTTATCTTATTTTTATTTTTTTTAATTTTTTTTTTTTGTAGGCAATTGGGGTTAAGTGACGTGCCCAGGGTCACACAGCTAGTAAGTGTCAAGTGTTTGGTCTGAGGCCGGATTTGAACTCAGGTCCTCCTGACTTCAGGGCTGGTGCTCTTTCCACTGTGCCACCTAGCTGCCCCTGACTTTTTTAGATTAAAAAAAAAAACTCAAAAAATGTTGAAAAAAGATGTACAGTTATAAATATGCTTACAATAAATAAGGACCAGTTGATAAATAATTTTATTACCTTTTTCTTTACTAATGATTCTCTTTCTCTATCCCTTTTCTTCCATTCCTCTGCAAGAGCTTGCATGTGAGCTAGTTCTCTCTTTTTCAGCTATTGAAAAAAAAAGCACAGTCAGGAAAAAAATAGAAACAAAAACAATCTTGAATAAAATCATGTAATTATATTTAAGCTAAATAGCAAACAGTTATCTCCAAAAGATTTCTTTAAACACTCTAATTCAAACTTTTTAAAAAATGTGGTAGTTAAACTATGTAAGAGTTCCTGTAACCATCATTCAGCAGAATACAAGGCCTCTTATTTTTGAATATGCAATATTAGTACTATAAAGAAACTTACTTTAGAGCAGATCATCCTAAATTATTAGCAGTCCTCTGAAAAAGGCCTAGAAATGAAAGGAAATTAATCCTACCGCAATTTCCCTGGCTTAATTTTCTAGGTCCTGAAGTAGCCCTGGATATCTTGAGGTGGGACAGGTAAGAGGGAGCCCTCGTAACTGATTTGTGTTCTTTGTAGACAGAAACTATTTTTTATTTTAGTTTCTATGTCCCCAGAGCCTAGTCCAATTCTGTACACACAGTAGGGACTAAATAGATGTTTGTTGAATTGATTCACAAACATTTTTCATTGTCATTTTAAAAGCTATAAAAAATTCTATTATAAGAAAGGAAAATATAAGGCCCTAGTGGGACATATATATGCTGGTTAAATAAAAACAAAGCAAAGAAGACTGGACCACAAAGTAGTGTAATCAGTGCAACAGTACAAATATTCAGATCCTATGGAATCTGTAAAAACTGCCAAGGAAATGAGGTCTAACTGTATGATATATTTAAGAGGCAGAAATAGCACAGGAAAAAAAAATCCTAATATTTATGTTAGTTATTAGCACACTCAAATGGATCTGTGACCTCAATGTTTGGGGTATTTGCATCAGAGATACAGAATACCACCTATTCCTACTCATTCTAGAACTTTTGACCATGTTCTCCTAAAGATTCACCATAAAGCAGTCTAGCCTATATGATGGAAGCCCTTCCTTGCTTTATTCCATCAGCCAGTGGGATATTCTGGCTATCCACTTGTCATTCCTCATTCTTGCTAGAGAACCTATCCATTTTCTCTTTGTCATTGAATTCCTTGAAAACATCCTTTACTTTGTTTTTATCAGAGTTTCTCCCCAAGTTATAGCCTGCACTTGCCCTACATGAACCTCAAAAATGCCCTCTGTGTGGTTTTCAGCTTTAATTCTTTGGAGACAGTGGTATTCTATGACTCACTGTCACACAGCAACACTTTGCAAAATGTTAGTATTGAAAAGACAGGCCTTTGCTTTCACAGGAAGCTTAGGGTCAAGTAAAAGAGTTCTGTAATATCCTAAAAGCAATTTGCTCTTACCCTTCTTATCAACTCTGGGCTGAGCTCCTTGTCCATCTGTACTAACACTTTGAACAATCTCTAAATGGTGTCCATCCAAATGGATGTTGAAATTTAGGCAATAGATATTCTTCATCCAGGCCAAACTTTTTTGTTTACAGAACTCTTTCAGATTCTCTGCTGTGCCCTGGGGCTTGATGGAATGGATCACTACAGCATGATCCACAAACAGGAATATTTAGAGCAAAAAGGTCAAATAGGGCCTCTAATGCTCCCTCAAAACCAGATTAAAATGTTTAACAAAATAAGAATATAATACAACATAGACAATATTAATTTGTAGTTTTCTAAGTCAATATATGGCCTGTAGGGAATTGTTTCTATTTGAGTTTGATACCACTGATCTAGAGGATTTCACTTCTGCTTCAACTCTGCCTTGGATCTCTCCCACCAATGGTGGAATGCATTTGGGGAGACTACATCTCCCTGTTTTATGCTTGGCTTTTATTTATTTTTTGGGGGGGAAGTTCTCATGTTTATTGGGCGTTTTTCCCAAGGGTTGGGGCTCAGGCATCTCCCACCTTCTGGCTGCAGAGTGGATGTAGCTGTTCACATCTATTGCCATCTGTACTGCCCCTGTCCCCTACAAAGATCTTGCTGCCTTCCCTGCTGCTGCATTCTCCTAGAAGCGATCCCGCTCTCAACTAAGAGCATGAGCTCTGTGAGAGCAAGATTGTCTCGTGTTTGCTTTGTATCCCCAGTACTAAACACAGAGCTTGGGCTACAATTAGAAGCATTTAGCTTTTCCATTCTGTTTTTACATTAAACCAAAATCTTACTCTGTGAAACACACACTCCATTGCTCTTGCTTCTGCCCTGTGGGGCTGACCAGAGCAGTCCAGATCTTCTTCTATAGGACAAACCTTCAGAGACTTGAAAACTACTGTTATGTGTGTACGTATATGTTTGTGTTCAAAATTGTGTCCTCTAGGCTGAAGTGTGGACCTATATTTACTATCAGAGGGTCACTGAACAGGGTTTTGTTGTTACATCTTTCAAAGCATCTTCAATTGGGGCAGCTAGGTAGCACAGTGGATAGAGCACTGGCCCCGAAGTCAGGAGGACCTGAGTTCAAATCCGAACTCAAACCAAACACTTGACACTTACTAGCTGTGTGACCCCAATTGCCTAAAGAAAAAACAAAAAACAAGCAAACAAAGCATCGTCAATGATCTTATATAGATGGGAGACACATTATATGTATATGTATATGTGTGTGTGTGTATATATATATATATCCATATATGTGTGTATATATAATGTGTGTACATATATACATATACACATATATACATATATACACACACATATCTTGCTATAAAAGAGGCTTGTAAAATGGTGTTCTGTTCTATTGCCTTAAGTACTTTTTTAATAATCAACAAACAATAATCAGAATGGGATTTTATATTCTCTACATTTTTTAGTTAATTTTGAAATAGTAAAGATGTGATTATTGAATATTGCTTACTAACTGCTGCTTGTTCCTTTACAATTCATAAAGAAATGACTATAAAAGATTCTATATAGAAGAGAAAGTAGGCACATAAATTGGTAGTTATTGACGGATCAACAACCAATTGGTGGTCAGTGACCTTCTTCCCATTCTCCTCCCTGCTGATATTGACAAAGTCTGAGATTTTTTTCACACCTCTGGTATCTTCCTTCTCAAGACACCTTTTATATGAGTCCTTATGATTTTTCTGATCATAGCAAAGTTTCTTAATTTCTCTAATTGACTGCACTCACAATGAGTGCACTCATCTATAGATAGCAGTAACTCAATTGTGAGTTTAGGGCTGATATAAAATATATCTGAAGAGAAAGATACTAAAGGTATAGAAAAATTTCAGACCTTTCCATATTGGAGGGGAAAAAAGGTCACTGACCAACAAAGTGATTGTTGATCAATCAATAACTGACAATCTATGTGACATATATATAGCTTCTTTCCCAGTCTTTCCTCACTTTAGCTTCATTTCTACCTCCTCTAATGGCGCCTCAAAGACTGTGATGTTAGAGTCTAAGTTCCACAATCCTTAACAGAGAAAACAATTTATTAAAATGGCTTTCACAAATCTTTTCCACTTTTTCCTGTTTGTAGCTCTTCTTTTACTTTCAATCCTGAATGCCTCTAGGAGGAGCCTGCTTAGCTGAATATCTTGCCACATTTTCTATAAACTGTTTTCCTTATGCTGCTTGTCTTTGTTCTATGAGCTGATACTTCTCAATGAACATCTTTTTTTTATTAAAATTTTTTCCATTTTAAATATTTTATTTTTTCTTCCAATTACACGTAAAAATTTTTAACTTTCTTTTTTAAAATTTTGAATTCCAAATTCTTTTCCTCCCTCTGTATCCTCCCCCCTCATTAAGACAAGCAATTTGATATATTTTATGTGTGCAGTCAGGCAAAACATATTTCCACATTAACCATGTTGTGAAAGAAAATATAGATCCACCCCCCCCCCAAAAAACTAAGAAAAATAAAGTTTAAAAAAAAAGTATGCTTTGATCTGCATTTAGACTCCATCAGTTCCTTTTCTAGAATGGACAACACCTTCCCGCTTCAGTCCTTCAGGATTGTTTTAGATCACTGGATTGCTGAGAATAGCCAAGTCACTCAGAGTTGATTATCATACAACATTGTTGTTACCATGTACAATGTTTTCCTGGTTTTAATGAGCATCCCTCTTAACATTTTACAGATGAGTTTATCTTCTAACTCATATTGCATTTGGCCGCCATCTTTCTCCATTTGGCAAGTAAGTCAGATGACTGTAGACTAAGGAGTTTTCTGGGTTCTTTTGGGTCCCTTGTTATGGCAATTCATTTACATCAGTTAAACTTCTAGATGAAGTTGTTACAGTCGTTACCAAACTGTCCATTTTTTTGTCCCTGGCAACCTATTAGCAATGTAAGATTTTAAAAATGCTTTACAAACATTTTTTTTTTCATTTGAACTTCAGAACAACTGTGAATGACTACTACAACTACTTATAGGTAGTATTATTCCCATTTTACTGATGTGCAACTGAGGCTTTGAGAAATTAAGTAACTTTGCCATGATCAGAGAACTCATAAGAAACAGAAGCTGAACTTGAACCCAAATCTTTACCAATTCCAAGCTCAATTCTCTTTCTACCATACTCTAGTGCCTCAGTAGAAACAGTGATGGACCTAGAATTGGGAGGTCCCAGAGTGTGAAACCAAGCTCTGACAATTCTAAGTGTGTTACCTTGGAAAGTCACTTTTTCTTCATGTGTAAAATGTAGATGAGAATATTTACAACACCTACCTATCACCCAGCATTGTTGTGAGGAAAGTGTTGTATATACATCAAAATAATGTATACATTTTTTTTAATTATGCACAATCATATTGCTTGATGGGGGGGGAGGGGCACAGCCAAAAACTGAAAACATGTCTGAAATTATAATGGAAGTCAATAGCAAATGATCTAATATTCACTTTAAATAAAAGTAGTCCATAAGGAACCTTGTTTTTCGCTTCTTTTGTTTCTGTTTATGGCACTTAAGAAGAATGCCGAGACACAACACAGTTAGCATGGTTTAACTGAAGGAACACTGAGCTTGGAATAAGAAAATCTGTACTAAAGTCCTAGCTCTGCCATGTACTAGCTATGTAACTTTGGGCAAGTCACTTCCCCTTCATGTGGCATAGTTTCCTCATCTATAAAATGAGGATGCCTGACTAAGTGATCTCTAGAGTCCTTTCCAGTTCAAAATTTTTGATGATGCTAAGTTGGGAGACAAAGGTTGGAATCTTAACTGTGACAATTATTAGCTGTATGGCTACAGGCCAGTCAAATACCCTTTCTGTACCTCAGTTTCTTCATCTGTATAAGAGGCAGCACAGACAACTTAGATTCCCATACTATTTTGGCCACACATTGGGTATGTGATCCTGAGCAAATCACTTCACTTCTGGAGTCCCTCAGAAAATTTTCTAAGACTCTAAGTCACAGAATAGCTACACAGATCTGCATCAGCGGAAGAGGTTCCCGACTAGAAATCCCATATACTAAAGAAATCACAAGGCTGTTCCAAAAAAAATAAAAAAGGCAGGAGTATGTACCCTTGTATTATATAATACTTTCTGTGCTAGAATAATTTTTACAAGAGTCTCTTGTCATGTACATTGGGCTAGCTTTTCCCAAGGCCCTATCCCAAGCAAACTGGGCTAGCTTTTCTGCCAAATCTATTGAAACTGTTGAGATTTAATTGGCCCAGAGAACTAGGCTTGAAGGTGGAGTTTTCTGGGGCCTAAATACAGGAGCCAAGGCATGAAGAGTTAGGAATGCCTCCTTCCTTTAATACTGTAAGGTAAATGAAAAAGCAAAAAACTGCACCACAATGAATCAATGCTTAATTCTTACTGAATATCTTTCCATACTATGGCTAAGTCCACTTCCTTTTGTTAACTGGTAAGGTAATCTATACATGTCTCTTCTGTTCCAGGTTGAAACCCAAATCATATAACACACTAACTACTTATATCACTGGACTGTTTTGAAGAAAGCACTATGTGTCATATAGCTAATAAAGCCTTAACAGGTTATTAATATAAATGTGAATTATTAATTACTGACATGACCAGTCTACCTTACACACAGACAAAGTTTGTGGCTTAGATTTTGGGAGTGCATATGAGTGGAGAGTAAGGAAGGTTCCAATGCTCTACTATCTATGAAAATACCCATGGGAAGGGCAATCCATTCAACCATTAGTAAATTATCAGTCATTTTCACCTTAGTAAGAATAAAATATCTAAAAGCAGAAAAGAAGAGAGCTCAAGGGAAACAGGCTTGATGGGTAAAGGAATGGAGAAATTGCCACCAAGTGAAAAAAGCTATTGAGAACAGCAAAAACAAGTTTCTGGTGGAGGGGGACATGCTAGATATGGTGTCAGAGGACCTGGGTTCTAATTCTGGACATGCCACTTACAACTTGTGTGACACCAGGCAAGTCAAAACATCTCCAGACTGCAGCTGCCTCATGTGAAAAATGAGAGGATTAGACTGGATGACCTCTTGAGTTTCACTTCAGTTTGAAATCTATGATGCGTTCTCTTACTTCACAATTCTCTCTATAGGTAACTCTGCTTGTTAGTGAGCGAAGGAATATATCTATTCTATATAATACAATATATATAACATGTATATAATATAATATAATATAATATATAATATTCTATATCCAGAAAATAAAGCCAACATTAACAAAAGATACTATGGTCACTTCCTTAAATAATAAATATTTTGGAAAGAAGAAATAAAGAAAAGTTTTGATTTAATCATAAGATTAAAAATATTAGGGTATTTAAAAACCAAATTAAAGTTGACTAGTTAAATGGCATTTTATATAGTAAACAAATAAGCATTTTGCAAAATGAATGGCCAGTTCAGATTACTGTATATTTAATACACACTAAATGATTCTTTGCACAAATTTGATCCTGTGCAAATAAGTCATTTAAGCTCTCAGTATCCTACACAACACTCTGCGAGTAAAGATGTAGAACTGGTGTAGCGGAGCTTTCTCACTGGGAGCTCCCTACTCCAAGGGCCTGGCAACAAAAACAACAAAAAAATCCATGTATGGCTAAGGATTTTCTATTAGTCACGATGGCTCAGTTTTTGAAGTTAACTAAAATCTATTGGAAGACAAGTAGTACTATATAGAGTTATCGATATATTAGATTACAGTCAGCCACACAAACAGTTTAGCCAATTATAAATAGAGCAACTGCTTGATTTTCTTTGTGAGGGCAGTATGATGTAGTAGAAGGAACATGGATTAAGAATCAGAGGATAAAGTTCTAATCCTAGTCATATTTCTGAGCTTCAGTTGACTTATCAATCAAATGCAGATAGCATTTCTATCGTCTCTCCTACTAGAGCTGTTGTGAGCAAGGAAATGGATTTGAAAGTGCCTAACAAATTAGAAGTATAAAAGTGCTATTCAAAACGATAACATTAAAACACAGGAAAGTAGGAAAGATTCTTAACATGACATTAAACAAATAACCTGATTTTCAAAAAGGTCTTCTTGCATTTCTTTCCACATCTCTAACTCCAGTGCTGCTTTGTATTCTAGAGTTTCTCGGGGCTCTGCCTGTGTTTCTGTAACACAAAGTGGCGCTTGAGGAGAAAGTGGCTTCTGCTGAATTGCAGCTAAACCCTAGGGAGGAATATTGAGAAAATATCTTAACCAAAAAGGTCCAATGACATCAGGAACCTTTAAAAGTAAGAACTAGTACATAACTAAAAATATTATGTATGTGTATGTATCTATCTTTTCATACATGTACATATTCATATATACAGATATCTATGTATGGGTGTGTATATATACCTGAGCTGATTCAGATATCAATATTTCACGTATTTTCACAAGTCCATGGTCTTCTAGAGTCAATGTATAAGAAAGATCTGCTATCCTGTTATTTGTCCTATAAATAAAAAAAAAATCTTACAATTTGTAATATAAAATTCCTAACATAATTTTCCCTTTTGTTTGAAATCTTATTATTTGAAAGCAAAGGTTTGAGGAGAAACAAGGAGCCCATATGCCACTGCCCTGATACCACTGCTGCTGAAATAAAGATAGCCTTTTAGGTGGGCTCAGTTAGCGATTCCCATGCCACTTTAGTCTCTTGGCTTTCCACCCTTGCCTTAGCTTTTCCACTCCTATTTCCGTTTCCCTAAGTGACAGACTTCAGGACATTTTAGACTCCAGGACAAGTCAATAAAATATAGACATTCACTGGGACTCCTGTTATAGATTTCCCAGATGGAAGTTCCATGAACAATTTATCCAACTCCTGTACAGCAAATATTACCTAGCACCATCTGGCAATCTCTACAACTGCTGAATTTGAGCTGCTTCTCAAGGGATTTGAGGGATTTAAGGGATTCCAGGAAGTTATAGAAAAAAAAAAAGGAAACAGAGAGAGAAGAAATGAATGGATAACTAGGTCAACTTTACCCAGATTCTCGAGTTTTTATAAATTATAGATCTTTGAAAAGTCCTATGAGTCCACGAGGTATAATTTCTCATTACTGTTGCCATAACAAATGATACATAATATAATGATACTTAGATTAATAGATAAAAAATAAAAATTGAGTCGTTATCAACTACTTAACTTATTCAGATGGATCTACTATCGTATCAATGTGAATATTTCCTCTGCCAGTGCATATCACAAACCCTCCATGCCTTCTTAATCTGTATAATTCCTGTCCATATCTTTCCATAGAAGACCTACCCAATGAATTGGAGGTTCTGAGATTCTAACTAGACTAAACTCTGAAAGGATGGAAATTGAGTTTTATTTAAACTTTATCTTCTCACTAAGGCATCACTCTGGTTCTTTTAATATTCTGAGTATACCAGTGTAAGATCTGAGCTGTCCATTTTTTTTAACCTGCTCTTGATAGAAGATCACCTTATCTATTCTAGTTTCCATATCCCCTGGTAATATACTCTGGCTTACTTATCCCCATCATGTATCTTTTCATTTGAGTCATTTATGATTTTTATTCTGAATCTCCCCATCCTGTTACCAAGATGGAAAGATACGGCCTCAGTGGGTTCAGAATTATGGAATAATCATTAATCTGCCCAAATCAACTTAGAGATGAAAAGCAATGTGATACTAGATAGAGAACTGCCCTAACAATCAAGAAGACCCACCCCTGACACATCTGGGCAGTGTGGCCATTGGGCAAGTCACTTAATGTCTCAGAGCTCTAGGCTAGAGATGACTGACGCCCAGGCTCTCCAGTGCAATAGGAATCAGATTAATATGTAACAAAGAAATGTTTAACAAAATAAACAAAATACAATATAACATAGATAGCATTAATTTGTGATTTTCTAGGTCAATATGCCTCCTGCAAGGATTTGTTTCTCTGTTTCTGACACTATTGTTCTAGTTTAAGACTATAAACTAAAGAGATGGAGGTAACCTACATTGAGAGAGGGGCTCTCCTCATCTGGAAGGTCTCTATACCAGTTAAATCACAAGTACAGTCCCTCTATAAACTTGAAGAAAGACAGCTTCACATAGTAGATGACTTTTAAGTTCTTCCTCTGTGTGACCATGGGCAAATCAAATGGAAATGAAGGCCTGCACTGGGATGGTAGCCCAACAAATGTTGCCAGGACAGAACTTGACAAGATTTGGTAATTGGTTAGCTGTGAAAAGTAAGGGAGAGGCAGACATGCAGAATAATATTTGTACAGTAGGCAATAGTAAATGAAAAATGAGGACAACTGAATGGAAAACCAGAAGTATAAGCTTCTGACTATAATTGGTAGGACTATAAAGTCACGGTTGATGTTGGTTGGTATTCGCAATAAAAAGCCCAAAATATGTAACAAAGGCACTCACAGAATACTGCCTGGCATACAGCAGGTGCTTAATAAATGTTTACTGATTGAAAAAAAATAAACTACATATCTTTTCATAATGCCTGATATAGTACCCTACACATAGTAAATGCCTAATAAATATCTGTTCAATTAATCTGAACTATAATTATTCTTATTATTTAGGAACTTCACTATATTTATATATCACTTTTTTGCATGATAAATACCCAACCTAGCATGAAATGTTTCCAGCCAGTTGTTCACATTTGCAAATATCCTTCCTAAAGTGGATTCTAATTCCACTGGTCAAACATCCATACCAAAAAAGTCAGCAATAATTACTTGATTGTGGAAAAAAAAAGCTTTATATTTACATAGTGTTTAAAAGTTTTCTAATTGCTTTCAGATCCATTATTTTATTTAATACTTGCAGTTCTTCAAAGTAAGCATAGCAGGTGTTTACTGGTATACTCATGAACAAAACTGAGGCCATAAAAATTAAGTTGCTATGCCTAATGGTCACAGTGACAGAGCCATAACTAGTACCTCAGTCACTAGGTATGCCAAAAAAAAAAAAAAGTCCTATCCCTCTTATGCAAAATTACTGATAAAATCAAATCATGTTTTGAAAAAATCAGCATCAATGATTGGATTTACCATCCCTCCTGGAGGTATGTGCTGGTGCTTAATGTTAAAGCAGCTTCAAGAGTGGTTGCTCTATTTCCAGACTACAAATCACAAAGAAAATATAGGAACTAAAGGTTGAAGTCTGGGCTCAGTGAAGGGAGGAGGGGAAGAGAAGCAGGAATAGATCATTTCAATTATAGATTACTAGTGTTGATCACATTCCTTCTCTTTTTCTAGCCTTTTTTTTCTTTATAAAGAGGGGGGTGGTAGAAGAAGAAAAAAAATAAGAGCTTGTGAGGTATGAAATAATTAAAAATCATGACAGTGAAGATGAGTAGGATAAGCTCACCTATAAAATAGAAACAAAGCAGATTTAAAAGAAAAAAAATCCAAAAATATGTTTGCCAAAAAAATGCTTTAAATATAAAGATTCACAACAAATCTGGAAGCCACACAGGAACTGGACCACTGATTTCACTGATACAGGGAATCCCCAGGTGAGTAAACTCAATCTACCAAAGTAAATCAGCATCTTCTTTGCAACTTACAATCTTAGAGAACTGTCTGGAGCATTAAGAAGTTAAGTTAGTTAACCAGCATCCAGCAAAAGGACAAACTGAACGGAGGTCTTTTTGGCTCTGAGGTCAGCTTTCTATGTTCAGAGTTTAATGTGAAATATACATTTTTACATTGTGAAGTGACAAGATAGGAGAACATTTATCTTCAGTACCGTAGACATTTAATATTAACTAAAATTTTTATTTAAGCATAGCTAGTTCTACTATTGTTAGGACACAAGTGTTAAAAAGAAACATATGGGGCAGCTAGGTAGTGCAGTGGATAGAGCACCGGCCCTAGAGTCAGGAGGACCTGAGTTCAAATTCAGCCTCAGACACTTGACACTTACTAGCTGTGTGACTCTGGGCAAGTCATTTAACCCCAATTGCCTCACCAAAAGAAATAAAAATAAAAATAAACATAAATAAAAAGAGTCATATAAGATATTTCTTATCCCACTATGCCATGCTGCCTCTTAGAAATAAATATACTATTCTTAAATATGGTAAGTAGCATCTACCTAGATAAGAACTAACATTATCTGCAAGGAAAAACAACTTTGAAAGCTTTACAAACCCTGGCCAATGTAATGACCAACATTTTCCAGAGGACCCATGATGAAACAAATTACTCATCTTCTAAAAGAGAGGTAGTAGACATATATTTCTGAATAGGGACACTGGATGTATTCATTTTCTTTGACTGCTACAATAATGATAAAATGATCAACAAGATGAGTTGCTGACCTACAACAAAAGAGGAAGCTCCCTGGCATCACTGGTAGTTCTCTCATGCTATGTCCTCATGGGACAAAAAAAAACAAAAATCAAGTTGCTCATGTTTCTAATTGAGAGACTTTACCATCATGAGGTTAATACTTAAATCTGCTTTCTACAACATCCCTAACCATGCTCCCATACTCCTTTTACTGACAGAACTTGGCTGGGGCGGGAGAATAGCATATATTATGAAATTGTAACAAAAATCTAGCTTAAACAGGAAAGACAATTCAACAAATGTTTTATATCTAAAGTATAGGAACTACAATACTCACTACTTCAAAATTGTAATTAAGAACAAGTCAATTACATTTTTGTAAATACCACTTAGTATTTAACATCTTTGTAATATATTCAGGGTTTAATCTGAGGTGCACATTTTCATGCTGTGGACTAACAAGATGGGAAAACATTTATCTTAAGCAAAGACATTTAATATTAATTAAAATTTATATTTAAAGACAACTGTCCTACTACTGCTAAAACATAAATATTAAAAAAGCCATCTAACATAAACTTACTACCAATGTGACCTTTGACAAGTTTACCTCCTTAGGCCCCAGTTTCCCCATTTGTAAAATTAGAGGGTTGGACTAGACATATTTGAGATTCCTTACAGCTCTAAGTCTATAATTCTACCAAATCAAATTGACAGATTTTTTTTTTCTTTTTTTGTTGTTTAGTCATTTCAGTCATGTCTGACTCTTCATAACCCCACTTAGGGTTTTCTTGGCAAAGATCCTGGAGTAGTTTGTCATTTCCTTCTCCATCTCATCTTACAGATGAGGAAATTGAGGCAAACAGGGTTAACTTACTTACCCATGGTCGCACAACTAAGTGTCTGAGGCTGAATGTGAACTTAGGTCTTCCTGACTCCAGGCCTACAGGTCTACCCACTGCACCACCTAGGTGCCCTTTTTTCTTTTAAGGGCAACATAATATTGTGGAAAGAACAGATCTGGAGTCAAAGGAAGTGGGTTCAAATCCAAACTCTACCACTTATTACTTATGTGTTTTGGGCAAGTCACTTCACCTTTCTATCTGCAAAATGAGGGCTTTGACCATATGATTTTTAACATCCTTTTTAGCTCTGAATCTATCACTCTAACTTTAAGTTTATCAAAGAATTTGAATCCCAAGACAAGAGAGAAATAGGAGGAAAACACACAAAAAACAGCATGAGAGATCACTATGCACTATAATAACAATATTTTTTTTTATTGTGCGTAGCCAAGATGAACATCTTAAGATAGTGGAAGGTTACATTAAAATAGAAATATAATAAAATAAAGATATTACCCTTGTGCTGCTGTAACAGGAACCTTTTCACTATAAGTTTGTCGCCAACACTGTTCACCATGAGCACCTAAAAATCGGGTTTTTTCTAAAGACAAGACATTTGAAAGCTGAATTCTTGCAATTCCTAGAAGTAGGTCTTTGGCCATTTTGTCCTTATGCCATAGTTCAACAAGCAGTGGTAACCTAAGGATAAGAGAAAATGTTTTACTAGAACATAGTTGAAATCACAGAAGATAAAGATTTAACTTCACTGAATTAAATGCTTTGCATTTCCTTGCTTCAGATTGAGATGACAGAACTCCTTGCAATGTCTTCCCAATCATCATTTTGAGTGAAAAGCACATGTAGCAAATATGAATAGTTATTATTATCTGGATCTATATACTTCAAAGAAAAATTATTTACAATTTGTTTTTCTAATTTCTGGTTAAGGGTTTAATTTTTAATTTTTCCCATTCTTCTTTTCAAAGCATACAAATTTGAATGGAGTTTTTTGAGCAGAGAATGCTTCCCATAGGTAATTTCAACTTTTCTGTTGTCTAGGCATGAGGCACCTCCTCTATATTCCAGATAAAAAACCTGGTACACAGAAACAAGTTAGATGACATGCAAAGGACATACACGCGTTTCATCAGTGACAGAGTCAGGAATTCATCTTTGTTCAACTTTTCAACTCTACATATACACTAAATTAGAAGTCAGCAACAGTGTTTTTCAACAGTTCTTCTCATACAAATTTTATATTTCTGCTAATTCATCGATCCAAATCCAGACCAATGAAATGATATTAAAAATCAAATCATCTTTAACCTTAAATAGAATATTGGAAGCATAACTGTTACAGATGTTAAAGGAAATCTTGTCTTTTAAAATGTTCAAAATAAAAAATAAATGTTCAGAATGCTTTTGGTTCTTTCCTATGGAATTTTCTTTATATATGAACACAAATTAATAATTTTTCATATGCAATACATTTGTGAAACCTCATTATTTAATCATACATACAGACAGTACCTCAGGAAGGTATCTTGGAGTTGATGAGGCAAAGTAGCAAAATCAAATGCACAGTAAGACTGAGGAAGAAAAACCTCCATATTTTTTCGAACTTCTACAGGTGGGTTAGTCATGATAGGAGCAGCACTTCCAAAGAACGGATAAGAATACCTAGTAAGTATAAAAATTATGCAGATTGTTAAGAGATGTGATTATATGATATAAATTCTGACTAACAGAAAATCTAACTGGAAATAATAAAATAAAATGGAAGTAAAAATGAACAAAAGGATAAGATTAATCAAGTCTATATTTATATGGGTCTCATCAACCTTCTGGATAAAACTGCACTAACTAGGTAAGAAAAACATTTTAAAATTTCCTCACAACATAATTGAATTTATGAAAATGCATCAATAAATGATGTTTACTGAACATAAAACAGTATTAGTCATTTTTGCTTTAGTGTTCAAAAAATTTCCAAAAAAGTACAGTGGCTCTGGCATCTAAGGACCTGTGTGTGTCTGAGTCTCAGCAGTGCAACTGATTCTGACTGTGGCTAAGTGTCTTAATCTGCTGGGCTTTAGTTTTCTTATCTGTAAAATGAGAGGATTAAGTTAAATGATTTCTTAGGTTCCCTCCAACACTAAATCTATGATATCATGATTAGTAACTATTGAACACAAAGTAAAATCTTTAAATAGGCTTAAGAAGAGTGTCTAATATTTCCACAGTACTAGTATATCAAGAAGGTATAGGTTCAATATTCCCAAAAGAATAAGACAAGTTTAACATTATTCACTTTTCACAGGTGAAGAAACATAATAACTTAAGTGTGAGTACTGCTTTATAGGTCCAAAGGATTTTCATATATATTCTCTTATTTGATGCTCACAACCACCCTGCAAAGTAGGGAAGCAAGTGTGGTGCAGTGGAAGGAATAAAAAGACTGGAGTCTGAGGACTGGATGTGATGGAGATGGGATCTGAACCCCTAAAAGGAAAAGACCATGTCTTTGGGATCTGGAACCCAAAAAGGAAAAACCCTGGACTTTCCCACCTGGCCAAATCTCTGGCTTTCACCTGAGGATATAATCCTATCCACTGGCCTTTCATTGTGGCTATGCCCAATCTCCCAATTCTGTTCTGTTAGCTCCCAACTGCCCCTGGCTACTTCCCACCCTTAATCCTATCTCAACTCCATTCTCCCTTGGCCAAGTGGTCCAGGCCCCTGGAGTTCTGTTCTCCCCAGCTTACTGGCCACTCCCATCCAGATCCTCCTTAGGTCCCTCCTCCAGTCACCCCAAACTACCTGGTCACTCCTGGATCCTTCCCAGTCTTTCTGTATATAAGGTCCATCTTGTCTCTATTAAGGTGCTCAGATTCTTTAAGAGTCTAGTCAAGGGCTCATATTCTTAAGATCTGGTCCACTTGCATTAGTGATACAAATGCTTAGATTCCTTAAGAGTCCAGCCAATATGGCAGATGTTCTAATAAACCTTGTTTTTGGCTGAAAGAAGGCTTGGGTCGAATTCATTCGGGCAGACCTGTGTGTTGTGATTTTGGGGTCCCAGTGATGAGGTCTAGATTCTTGGGGTTCTGGGATTCCAACACAACATGCGGGCCCTGCCCAGATGAATTCTACCTAAATCTTCTTTCAGCCAGAGACAAATTTTATTAGAGATGGGCCATACAGGTCAGACTCTTAAGGAATCTGAACATTAGTGCCCCCCGGAATGACTTATGGGCATGAGGAACTCTCAGTGTTTAAATGGGGGCCAGGATGGATCTTATGTACACTCAGATAATTTTGGGTGACCAGAAGAGGGGCTGAGAGAAAGATCCAGAAGCTGTAGTGAGTTTAGGGAGAATTCCAATGGGAATGTCTGGGAGGTTGAATAGACAATGGAACAAAGAACTGGAAGGAAAAGGTTGATAAGATCAAAGGTAGGATCAAAGACTAGGCTTCTTCCTTAGGATTTCAAAGGGAGATAGGGAGAAAACAAGAGATAAGGAAAGGCCAGTTGAGTGGAGTATAGCCTTAGGCAACCTTTTGAGACCACAGTGAGGTCAAAGAAAGTTTAAGGGTTTTCTGGGACCCAAATTCTTTTTGGGGTGAGGGTCAAAGGTCTTGGCTTGGGCCCATACCCCATCACCAGCACCCCTAAACCTCTAAACCTCAACAGATGTTAAGGAAGGAAACAAACATTTACCAAGTGCCTACTCAGGCACTGTTTTATGAACTTGACAAATATTTCACTGGATCCCACACAATGCTCCTAGGAGACAGGTACTGTTATTATCCTCATTTTACAGTTGATAAAAACTGAAGCAGACAGAGGTTTAAATGACTTCTCAAAGTCACACAACTATTAGGTGTCTGAGGCCATATTTGAACTCAGATCTTCCTGACTCTAGACCCAGAGCTCTCTATCCACTGAATCACCCAGCTCCCTTCATACCTGGGTTCAAATCCCTGCTCTGTCACTTATCTTTGTGACCCTGGGCAAATTATTTAACATCATCAGGGCTTAATTTCCTCATTTCTAAGAATAGGTGATTAGACTATGTGGCCTCTAAGATCCCTTCCTCCTTTAACACTATGGTCCTAAGTATTATTTTGGTTTTACAGATTAAAGATTTAAAAAAAAAAAAAGCTTAGGCTTAAAGAGATTTACTTGCTAATGACCAGAACACTTATGATGGCAACTCCAATGCTTCTTTGACTATACTACATAGAAATGTTATTGTTTCAACATATACACCAAGTAAAAGAAAAAGTTGGTATAAGAACTGATATCTTTTCCAATTATCTGGGTCCAATGCTGTAATTTCTACATTTGCCTTCTTTTTAGCAGACTAAATGTCCCAATTACCTTTAAAGAGCCTTAGATAACTCTTAAAATTATTCATTCATATGAACTTGCCTTAGAACAGAAGACAAAGAATGAGCTGATGCAACAATTGTACTACAATAAAAGTAAAGAATTCTAAAAGGATATTCATTCACTTCCAGGCCACATGAGCAACAAGATGGGACAGCTATTTTATCCAACTCCCCCCTACTCTTAAACCTTTCAAAAAGAAAAATCATATGACAAAGATAAAGCAAATCTATCTATCTTCATGTTCTAGGACACTCAGAATCCAAACAAAGGTTAAAAAAAAAAGCCTAAAACCTATGAACTAACACTTACTGACCCCAAGCTTCCTCAACACTCCTTCTCCAAATCCCACGCTATCAGCAAGGAGACTGCACTAGCAGCCAGGAGACCACAGCTGCTCTGAAGCAATGGGCTATAACACCACAGCATCAAAGCTGCAGAACTCTAAACTACTGGGCCAAGAAAGACAACCAAGTAGCACCAGCAAAGCCAGGGCCAGGTCAACAATGTAACACTAAAAGAGCCAGAGGTGGGTGAGAACAAGAGAATTTCTGAACTGCCCCAGTCAGACCAAAGAACTAAGGAACAGAGGGAATGGGGCAGGACACCAGAAAAGGACACTGCGTATGTGCTGGGGGAAGGGAGGGCAGTGTGTAGCAGTCAAAAAAGCCTAAAAGAAAAAGTATCCAGTGGGAAGCCTTTTTTGATCACTCAAAAGTCAGCCTGGGCAAAGACTAGGCTGGTGAACTGTGTGCTTTTAACAGCCCTTTCACTCCGGCCCTCCAACCACTTTACTCCTTCCATGAGTTGCACCTCACCCACCCCATACTATTTACCACACCTTAATCCCATCCAGATCTTCTTACTGTCTTTTTTTTTTTGTTGTTCTCATGTGGTTCAAATGGGAAATGAGAATTATGAAAACAGAATTAATGGTCTGCATAGGAAGAACAATGGGTAGAATAGAAAAACTGGAATCTTCAATGGCAAGTAACAAAAGCAAAGTAATAAAAGGGAGAACAGTAGATTGGGAAGGCAAATTGACAGAAGTGAAAGACTCTTGGAGAAGCAAGAACCAGTAACATTAAAAGGAAATATGCTCATTATGCAAGTGAAACATACTCATCTGGAGGACAGTATATATAAAGAACAATCTAAGAATCATAAGTCTCCCAGAAGAACACAACAGGGCAAAAACCCTTAATTCTATTATGAAGGAAATAGAAAAGAGCTGCCCAAGACACAGAAAATGAAATATCAATGGAAAGAATTTATAGATCGCTTCCAGCAAAAAAAACATAACAAAACCAAAGCAGCAAACTGCAAGACACAAAGTGGTTAAAGTTAACAATTCAATTCAGAAACAAGTTCAGCAAGCGATCAGGAGAAAGCCATTCAAACACAAAGAAAAGGACATTTGAATAAGGCAAGACTATTCTGCACCCATCAGCAAATATAATAGAAAGTATAGCAAACAGCAAAGAAGCTCAAGATGCAAGCCCAAGGTGACCTACTCTGTAAAATTGAGATTAACTGTACATGAAAAAAGATGGATGTTCAATAATAAAGAGGACATTTGAAACATTTTTAAAAAGAAAAACCAGAACTGAAAAAATTATTTGCTCCTCGAACATCCCAAACAATAGAAAGGCAGAAAGAATTAATAAATCCAGCAGCCAAGGACAGCAACACAATGACAGCAGAGAGAGAACAGTAATAGACTTCTTTCAAAATGTACACACAGAATGAAGGCAGAAATCTGTTTGAGGTAAGAGTAATGAAGCAGATAAGGGGAATTATGGACAGAGCCTGTCGACAACTCTGCCTAAAGGTGAATGAATTTTTTTTATGGTACTGATGGGGTTGGGATCTGGGCCCTAGAAAGGAAAAACCCTGGACTTTCCCACAAGGCCAAATCTCTGGAGTTCCCCTGAGGCTATAATGCCATCAACTAATCTTTCATCGGTGGACCTCCCTATGGCCTCAGGCCACTTCTCCATTCTCCCTTGGCCAAGCGGTCCAGGTCCCTGGAATTCTATTACCTCATTGTCTTTGGCTGAAAGAAGGTTTGGGTCGAATTCTTTTGAAAGCACTCACGTGTTGTGATTTTGGGGTCCCAGCACCCCTGAGCCCCTAAACCGTATCAGTACCATATTAAAATATGGGAGAGTATATGAAAGGGAGAGGGGAGCAGAGGGATAAAGAGGAGTGTGTGATGTGCTAGGGTTAAACCAAAGGCTAGTACTGAGGAGAAGGTGACCTCTAAAATCTCAGAAACAGAAGAGTT